GAGAAAAAGGGGAGTGGAGTTTGCAGGAGACAATTAGTTCACTTAATTGGTTCATGACTCTCCGAGACTCCTTGCCAAGTTCTTCAGATATCGGCCTGGTAGCTCTCCAAAACAGATAAGGTCTGTGACTGTAAATCCTCCCTTGAAGGATTTTGTGAGACATGAATAAGGAGAATTCGCAGTAAATTAATAAAATGAGGAGTTTGCTTCATGCCCTTGGGAAGCCTCGGTTAGAACAGAAGGAAGTAGAGCGAAACCTGTGGATTTTGCTGAGTCAGGCTGGAAATTAAAATCAGGAGCTTGGCTTCTCCCTTTCCCGACCAACAAATTAGTTAACTCAACGAGTTTCAAGATCCAACCCAAACCTCCAGTGAAGTCCCAAGTCCCCTGCTCCAGAACTGATCTCAAGAATGATGGATTGGGAAGAATTCTTGATTCAGATCTGAATTTTGTCACTAGACATATTCAGGCTTCCGGTTTAGCTAGGCAGGTTGAAGAATTATAGGCTGAACAAAGACATTGCATTAGATTGGTGTACTTCTGTCATAGCATGTTGTACAAGCATGTGAACACAGGCAGATCCTTCCAAGACCCTTTGGAGATATTTGGACCTACCTGGTAGTTCTATCCTTAGAGTGGTGCAATGGCCTAGAGGTGGAGCTCTCGCCTCACAATCAGGAGGCTGTGGGTTCGATCCTAGATAGAGGCAGATATTTCTCTCTCTGGGCACACTGAGAATATATCTTCTGAACAAAACTCCGCATTGGCAACAGGGAACAGTGTCTGGCCAGTAAAACACTCCGCTGGCTCCATTCAGTTGCCCAGACTCCATCCCGCCAGGGATTATGGGGTTGTTAAAAAATGATCATGGTAGTTCTATCCTTGAAAGCCTCGAAGCGGTAATAAAGATTCTTAAACTCAGCCTGGCTTTGTTTCCATTTCTAAGAGTAAGAATCCTGTAAATTTGAAAGTAAATCTTTCAAATATGGTTTACTGAAAGCAGATTCCAGTTTTGTCACACTAACATTCCTTTGTAATGTTTTCACTGAAAACAACAACAGCTTGCAGGTGTTTCTGAACACATACGGCATCCAAACCCAAACACCACAACAAGTTGAACCCATCCAGATTTGGCCTCAACAGGAGCTTGTGAAGGTAAGTTGTTACTTTAGCATCTTTTTTTTTTTTTAAGAAAAAAACCTTTTTGTTTTCTTTTGAAAACTGGTGTTTCCTAGGCTGTGATAAATTGCTTTGATTATGGTCTTATTTATGTCAAATTTTAAAATTGCTTTGATTATGGTCTTATTTATGTCAAATTGAAAAAAAACCCGTATAGATTCACATCAGTGGTGGAATTCAATTTTTTAAAAAATTCTGTGGGCATGGCATGGCTTGGATTGGTGGGTGTGGCAGGGGAAGGATATTGTAAAATCTCCAATTCTCTACCCACTCCAGGGGAAGGATATTGTAAACTCTCCAATTCCCTCCCCACTCCAGGGGAAGGATATTGTAAAATCTCCAATTCCCTCCCCACTCCAGGGGAAGGATACTGTAAACTCTCCAATTCCCTCCCCACTCCAGGGGAAGGATATTGTAAAATCTCCAACTCCCTCCCCACTCCAGGGGAAGGATACTGTAAACTTTCCAATTCCCTCCCCAGTCCAGGGGAAGGATATTGTAAAATCTCCAATTCCCTCCCCACTCCAGGGGAAGGATACTGTAAACTTTCCAATTCCCTCCCCAGTCCAGGGGAAGGATACTGTAAAATCTCCAATTCCCTCCCCACTCCAGGGGAAGGATATTGTAAAATCTCCAATTCCCTCTCCACTCCATGGGAAGGATACTGCAAAATCCCCATTCCCTCCCCACTCCAGGGGAAGGATATTGTAAAATCTCCAATTCCCTCTCCACTCCATGGGAAGGATACTGCAAAATCCCCATTC